AGATCTCTCATTTTGTCTTCCTTTCAGCTAAACTGGGCGACACCAAAGAGCTGGAGGATTTCATCGCCGACCTTGACCGGACGTTAGAGAGTAAGTGTTAATGTGACACGGCTGTCATAACTCCCTGATGAATTGGGGCCGCGCGCTGGCACCGCCCGCTCCCCGGGGATTAGCGCCGGCATTTGTTCCCTGTGTCGGCTCTGCTAACGACGGCTCATAAAAACTCCACTTTGCTTTTCAAGAAACAATCTTGCGTCGGTATTGTGAAGTGAATCGGGTTACATTGGAGAAAAGGCTGCATATGCATTTTCTGTTATGTAACTGTGAACTAGGCTCATTCACTGTGTACATTTTTAGTCATGTATCAGTGTAACTTTGCTTTAAACTCACAAAAATGTAACTTTAGACGGCGGGATTGGATTGTTGAGCAGTTTCCGGAACATTAATAGACAAACAGCGCCGGGTGCTATTAGCGTTGGATTTCCCTACTCGCCTGCTCGTATGTTTGAACTTGCATACTTGAGCACAGAGAATGCCTGCCGGGGCAAACCGGAGCTGGAATTCCGACTGTAAATGTCAGCAGTGGAATGAGAAAGAAGTGGGAGTCGAGCAACCTCAAATCCGGCTGCCTCGGTGTTTTGGGGCCTTTCGACGTGGGTCTCCCTGTAAAGCCTGTAACTTTCCAACACTCGGCCAGTTCCCCCCCCTGTTAGCGTGTTTATTGGGGCTGCCTCTGTTTACCGCGACCAGCCCCTGTGTTAAAACCAAACCAGAATAGAACCGGCAAACCTAGCGAGCAGGTTTTAGCGGCGTTCTAATCGCGTCTCTTTTCCGTCCCTCCCCTATCTGCTCTCAGGCATGTGACACGCGGGCTCACTGCCATCTCGGAGTGCAGCGGAAGGAGGGAGGGGACGTCTGGACCCCCCCTGAGCAGTTTTAAAATGCACCTGCTCCCACACACACACGAAAAACAGCCGCCCGGCAGGATGCAGCTGGACGGCCGCTGAGCGTCTCCAACCGCCGACATCAGGCCCGGCCGCCATCGTCAAAGTCCAGAACTCGCAGGCCGAGGGAAAGGCCCGCGCTCGCCTTTGTGGAACTGGAAAGTTCGTCGGGACTATAGACGCACATCTTAGAAACAGGGTCACTGGAGCGTTTGTCTTCAGACGCACGTCGTCCCACCAACCCCAATCTAGGCTTCCCTCCCTCGTCCAGAACTTAAGACGGAAGACTATTTAAAAAAAAAAAAGAAAAAGCTTTTTTTTGTAACAGAAGTATATTTGTAATTTTATAGAGCTTCTTATTGTAAATCGATCTCACTTTCCGTGAAATATATTTTTGTACCATATGTAAATAATATTTGTCTCAAATTTCTATTTGCCTCTCTAATGACGGTCAGATGTAAAAGATTTGACATTTGTTGACTGGAACAAAGTTGATGTAATGTGAATTGAAAACTGGACTGGAAAGCAGTGTGAGCATTCAATACAGCTAACACCTGCCAGAGATAATAAACGATGAACGATTGATCATTTAGGAGCACGGCCTCTTTATTTTCGCTCACAACTGGACGCTGGACAGTGATCAGATCACCGCATACCTCAGTTCTCTTCTTGAGCAGTTGCATGATCGAGTTTCACCTGAGCTTTAGCTATCAGACGCTATATTTCCATAGAACATGACAACGTTGTTTGGTAAATTTCTAATTCTACCGGAAGGAAATTAAAGATTTAGCATCCTAACTGAGGCCTGTAGTCTTTGAGGTGTAGTTTGATCTGCCCACTAGTTTTTAACTACCTTTCAAAAGAATCCTACCAAAGTGCCTTTGTAAATACACTCATTTTTTGAATAGTTCTTCAGTATAGTGCGCTAAAGAGAAAGTGCCTCCAAAATAAGCCACAGGCACCATGAAGCAAAAGGTGGGACTTTTACTTCCTTCAAGGAATGTGTTTGATTTATGCAGCTTGCTGAAATAGTTGTCACGAGTCTCTTGGCCTCTGTCCTCATCAATCAGTCTCTCAACAAAGCAGAACTTGCGTAACGTCTTTAGCATCGCGGTCTATTTCCAGGGGTGGAAGGAGACGGGAGGGTGTGAGACAATTTGGGAGGGCGGGACCCTGATTTGCGGCAGCTGAGGCTAAAGTCGTCTGATTCCAGAGGCACCCCTCTGTCTGCTGACCAGCAGAGAGGTCAAATGCCACCGAGGAGGAGCAGACATGCGTCCATATTGGTTTTATAGAGGCAGCACAGCAGGTGCAGATCCACTCGGAGCCACGAGCAAAATTAAATCTCCTCGGGATCCTTCATTTCCCAGAATGCAACTCAACGCCCCTCCCGGTACATCTTTATGGCTGTCTTACTTTGACCAGAATAAGACAACTCAAATAGCTTTAAAAAAAAAAAAAACTAACTAATATGATTTAAAGTGGTCCATTAAAAAAAAATGCTGAACAGGACAAGGTAAAACTTTTTCTTTAAAAAAAAATAAAAAAAATGCAGATGTCAGGATCATATTCACCAGAGAATAGGATCAGGGGAAATCTTTTTATGGTCTCGCTTCAAATTCAAATAATATTTTCCACCTTGTTAATATGCTCTTATATGGAGTTGCAAAAGTTATAATTGTTACCAGCAAAATCCACCAACAGCACGGTCATAATTTCTCCCGTAAAATCTGCTGAGCAGCACACTCAGCCTCAGAACGACGAGGTCAGACGGCTCAAATGTTCCGTGTAGATTATTTCGAGGAACCGGTGCCAACCTATCCTGACTATTTGCTGGGTGGGGCTTTGGTAAGTTATAGGAGAAGCTTACACAAGCACGATGGAGAAGCACTGTCGAGCGTTTTTTCCCTCTGGTTGCGCAAACGGCAGACGTGACTTGTTCTGCTTACGACTGCGATTACACCAAGAAAACACTTCAGTGTCCATCAGGACATCGCAGGGCAAGTGTATGCAGTCTTTAAAAATTATAGTCTCACAGGTCTGACCCTTGAACGGCTTGGTTGTGCAACTCATTTTAGAGATTGTCTCTTAAAAGTCCTCAGAAACAGTCTTGTCAATAAGCAGATGTTGCATTTAGTGGTACAGAATTACTTCCACTCAGGTCAATCTTCTCTCTCCATCTCTTCCGTCTCATAATAATAATTTTAAGACAAACACAAAGTAACCAGGCAACCATGTCAGTACGTAGAGAAAACAAATACATTGCTGTTTTTGCCCCAGCATCAAATCGGTTGCATGCTCGGATTCAAATGAATTCATATTTCTTGACTTGCTTGAGCCGCTTGGACAATTTGATTTGAATTTTTCATTGTATTTAATTCATTTTTTCTGGTGTGGCATGCCGTTGCATATATTTTTATCAGTAGATATGTATCCCCTGATGTGTTTTCTTTCTTTTTTAGTCATTTGCCACAACAGAAGTGTCCCCAGCTGACAGCAGACTGGCTGCACACCAGCTGTATTTCCAAACTGATGTGTAGTCCTGTGTTTCCTCACTCTCTTATTTGCAGCACTCATTCCTAAAAGCCAAAAATGAATAAAGCTTTTCTTGTGGAGACTGCTGCACATGGTGTCGGACTCGTGCAGATGCCTCTTGAGGGATGAGTGGAGGCTTTTTCTCTGTCTTGGGCAGGCAAACATGCAGGTGTGCCAGTGTATTGATAAAAATGAAAGTAAAAGCAGCTGCTGTATGTTGGGAAAAAATCTGATTATTGCACCAGTGAGCAATAGTTTACAGCTTTAATGATTATTCTTATTGCCATTATTTTTGTACTATATGTGAATGGCAAAGGGAGATTAAAAGATATGGAGGAGGCTTATTTTTTTCTTTCTTTCTCACTTTCTTTTTCTATTTTTTTCTTTATTTATTCATTCAATTTATCTATTGCTCAACAATCAGATTGTGTTGGAAACACTCAATAAGTCATGTCATATACATTTTTACTGGCCCAGACAGAATTTGCAAGGTTGTTTAGGTTCCCCTCAGTGCTCATATTTTGTTTTCTTTTGACTTTTCTCCTTCGTATTTTCTAAATATGAATAAAAAATGCCCAAGCTGATCCCTTGGATGATTTGAAAGGTCTCTGTTGGTGTTGGATCAAACGTTCCAATATTTGCACATAGTTTTGTAATGTATGTTCAAATTCTATTGGAAGACAAGGCCTCCTAAACCCTCAGCCCACGTGTTGAGAGTTTCTCACATTCTGTACGTCCAGCATACTCCCTCTCCCTCCGTGCCGGTCCGCACTAATCTGATGGCAGGAAGCTGGCACGGGAGCGCCGGTTTTCGTGTTGTTTTCTTCGGCATAGTTGGCAAAAGCTGGAGTTGTGGGCAGAGTCCCACCGAGAGTCCACCTCACTCCACCGCTCCGCACCGTGGGTACGAGTTTCAGACGGGAGCTGGCACCGATCGGAGAAACCATGTTGACACAACACTTGATCCCCTGAGGACGAGGGCAGGGGGGGGGGGGGGGGGGGGGGGGGGGGGGGGGGGGGGGGTTAGCTCTCTCTCCTTCAAAACAACCTCCCCTTTTGGCAGCAGTGGGCATCTTTTTGGCAGCGCGGGTCGGTCCTGTGCGAGCGCTGGCCTCGGCAGAGCATAACCAGCTTCCCCACAAAACGTGGAACCACGAAAAAGTGAACACATGGTTAAAAAAAAGAGAATCTTATAGTCCAAGAATCTATGGTCGTGTGAAAAATAATAACTGACGAGGACGGAGAAGATGAGGATAGTTAGCAGGATGCTAAATCTTTCATCCAGATGTCAGATTTAGGACCGAGATGGGTCCCCAAGACCCATGAGCAACGCCCAAGTGGTCGTTCTATGAGGATGGCTGGGACAGACAGAGAGAAACAGAGAAACAGAGCCAGAGACCCAGTTCAGATTTCCACCGGGTCTCCTCACATCGCTGGAGTCCAGATGTCCCCGCTGGCAAACGCGGGAGCGAATATCAACGAAGGCCTGCAGATGTCTTTCATTTTGTTCACCGAAGCAAGGTTTAAGGTTTGATTCGGCTAGAAAAAAAAAAGGTTTGAAGAAAAAAAAAAGTCAGGACGCCACCATGTGCACAATCTCATAAACAAAGATTGTGTTTATGCAGACAGTGTTAAGAAAAAATGTTGAAAAAGGGAGATTTTTCTTTGTTCACAAGTGCGTGAGGTCACGCATCTTGAATTTGATGGCAGCAACATGTCTCAGAATGCTGGATCAGGAAGTTTTTACCACTGTCAGCTAATCCTCCGTCTGCCAACCTCTGGGAAGTGTGGATATCAGTTGCTGGACGTTTGGGAGAAGAATTTTGGTCCAAATCCTGACTGATGTTGGATTCCAGCTGCTGAACAGTCAGCTGGAAAGCAAGTGGTTTGTAACACTCAAAATCAGAAAGAGGTTTGAAAACACGAGGAGGATAATCTAACGTTACAGCACTAATGAAGCAGCTTCTTCCAATATGTGTCTTTGTCACACAATTTGTAAAGATACCGATTCCCAGATACTGTCCACCACTTAAAAAAAGAAGCCTCAACAAAAATAATTCATACACCATCATGTCATTAAATCTAACCTTTGCTTTCATTGTCTGCTTTGTCAGGGTGGATGAAAATGGATTTGGTTACACCATAGCAATCATCAGCTAATGTACGGTACATTGCTCTTAAAGTTCTGCAAGAATTCAGGAAAAAAGGGTAGATTCTAATCGTGTAAATGCTAAATTTGTGTCCCTAGCTATCATATCAAGACTTTTTTGTGCCAGTGTTGTTACAAGCATTCTTGACTTATCATAAAACATAATTTTTATGATAAAGGGTTATGCATGAATCTTAATTTGGTTGTTTTGAAGTGCTTAAAGGAACAGATGCCTCAGTGGAAAGTCTGAGGAACTTCTTCACTAAACTTTTACCACAGAGAGAGAACCCAGCCTCTTAAAACTGATGATGGACAGGTCGGTCCATGATGGCTCTCACCTTTGCTCTTCCCTGAGATCATTCCGTCTTTTAAATTGCACCTCTGTTATGAACATCAGACTGACTTCTTTCAGATGCGATTCGCTGTATCAGCAACTTTTCTGAACCGAACATAGCCTCGAGCTTCAGTTCACGACACGCGGCTAAATATCGCACACGCTTACGAACACTGACCCTCATGGTCAAGAATTGAGGAATACAGTAGTTTGGTCTCGTGTCCACCATGGGAATGAGGTCACAGTGTTCTAAGCGGGCAGATGCTTTGCACACACACACGCCTGCACACACACACACACACACACTTTGGCTGTTGGGAGGTCTGGACAATGTGTGGGTGTGTTGGAGCTGACGGGGCAGTAAAATGACCGCTGTGGATGTCTGTATAGCTGAGCAGACAGCTCAGTGGCAGGTGCCAGATGGTTTTTTCTAAAGAGTCAGTACTTCAGGGGAAAAAAAACGTGACACATTTTTTGGCTCGTTTCGTTCCTAAGAAACACTGTATTGGAATATGTAATGTGAATATTCCAAATCTGGACAAAACCAATGACAGCGTTTGTTATGACAACAGATTGAAGTCTGGTTGTTATGTAATAGACGTGTTCCTCTGGAATCAGTCACTCAGTAGATCAGCAGTCATTCCTTTGTCTTTTCTGTAAAATGAAAAAATGAAAGCTTGGTAGATTACATCCACATTGTATGACGAACCGGTTCCTTTATTTTATATAACTGAGCAGTAAACTGCAGATGGGAGTGAGTCAAGCTGTGGAAATCAGCTGTTAAACAGAGAGTTGCTTGTTTTTTAAATGTACCCAAACAAAAGACGTGAAATCGTACCCTTTTCCCAATATTTTTGGAGAAAATTGCAAGAAAAACTGTAAGAAAACTCACAATTGTAACATTGTAA